TCAGATATGCTTCCGAATGTCAGTTGCTGGAAACTGCAGGGGAAGAGGGCTCTGATGCTCAAATCCTGCCTACTGGTTTTCCGCTGGCAGTGTAGCACCCTGCTTGTGGTTAACGCTTAGCTGGAATGAAATATTCAACGCAGCAATAGAGAAATTAAAATAATAATTTATTTGTCAGACAAATAAATGAGAGACACAGTGGTATATGGATACCAAAGCTCTGCCCACTCCAGCCCTGATGGCCAGCACTTATATTTCCTCAGCCCAGCCCCCTTGTTCCTCCTTTGGCTGCCTCTGTCCAATCAGCCTGGTTGAAATTCCTATTGGCTGTTTGCTAGAACCAATCATAAAAGATACACCCATTTCCTATTACATTTATGGGAGACAAAGAGCTATATTTCCTTCTATCCATAAATGGCAGACAAGTAGCCATATATCTTATATTTGCCTCGACCAGGCACCTTAATTACCAGATAACCTTTTTGCCCTATTACCCTATTGCCCCTTCACTCCAAAACAGATGGCTAAAACAGATGGCTCATGGTATTAAATTTTGTCTAAACAGAGATCTTGGGTTCACCTTCTCACACACCATCAATGAAATAAGAATCTAACATAAGAATCTAACATTTCTTACTTTCTAAATCCTTTGCATAATTACATTTAAGCCAATATATTTCATACATAACATAGATAGATTTTTAGAAGAAAAGGAACTTAGTAAAAACAGTTTCAAAAGCAACCTCTTCAATTTACAACTCCCTTTCCTAGCCAGCTGCTGTTCCTATTAGCTCTTGCCCTTTAACCTTAGGAAAATATGGCTCGAGTCTTCTGTTAAACAATAAATTTTACTATTTACCAACTCTTAATTAGTGTTTTTGCAGCTTGATTGTATTCTGTAATTTGTAGGGTCAATGTAACCTTTGCTCCCAGCCTGTATTTCCCTTTTACAACTTTGAGAAACGTGTCTCCTGTTACTACTATAAATCAGGGGGGGTCCTGTTCAAAGAGATAAACAACTGCCAAAGTACTTAGCCAGCTGCTTTATGCCTGGCATAAAACATACAAACATTTGCAAATATATTTTTAAAGCTCATTTTAAAATGCAGACCTTGATCTGATGCCTCAGCAGCTGTTCAGAAGAAGATGCTGGACTAGATGGGTCCTTAGCTTGATCCAGCAAGACTCTTCCTATGTCCTTCTCAGAGGAAACGATGGACCAGTGCCAGATTTACATATAAACCAAACAAGCTATAGCTTAGGGCCCCACTCGCTTGAAGGCCCCTCAAAAAATTAAAGGAAAAAATACCTGGATGTACATTTCCAAAATATAAGATAAAAAGCAAATAAAATAAAACCTACACACAGCAACAGTGTTTTGTGTTGTGTAGGCTCCTGTGATGTAAGTAATGGGCCCCACCTGCTAACCTGCTCCCTAAAATATCACTGGTTTGCTCATTTCTATATATAGGGTGCCTACATTCTGCATGGAGTGGTTGCATGGCCACATGGGCAAATGGCTTGAGATGCCTATTAGGTCCATAAATTACCATATAGCATATATTCAACACAAAAAAACAGCAACCATTTGTTGTTGACAGCTGGACATATAAAGGGCCTCATTACCTTCAGTAGTTTAGGGCCTCATCAAACCTAAATCCGGTCCTGCGATGGACCTACGTTAGCCATGCCCCTTAATTTCAGTGGGCCTACTGTGAAGAAGAAGAAGAAGAAGAAGAAGAAGAAGAAGAAGAGGAGGAGGAGGAGGAGGAGGAGGAGGAGGAGGAGGAGGAGGAGTTTGGATTTGATATCCCGCCTTTCACTCCCCTTCAGGAGTCTCAAAGCAGCTAACATTCTCCTTTCCCTTCCTCCCCCACAACAAACACTCTGTGAGGTGAGTGGGGCTGAGAGACTTCAAAGAAGTGTGACTGGCCCAAGGTCACCCAGCAGCTGCACGTGGAGGAGCAGAGACTCGAACCCGGTTCCCCAGATTACGAGACTACCGCTCTTAACCACTTCACCACACTGGTGAGAAGGGCTAATGTTGGATGCAACCCACTTTCTCTCTCCCTCCCTCCCCTCTTCCTGCTGAACGTTTGCTCCTAATTGTAAATTGCCTGTAAAATTCTACATTGAGCACTTGTGTGGGACCAGGAGTGACCTGGAAAAGGAGAGGCATCTCTCCTTTGCTCTTGCAGCAGAGAAGGGAGACAACTGGTGGTGTGAATGTTTCATGAAAATGTAGAAAACCGCCGCATGTCAACACATGTTTTATTTAATGGGATCTGCTTTTGCACTCAGTTGGGTGACGTGATGCCTTTTGTGCTGCCGTCTCTCTCTCCCCCTTTCCAGTTGCAACAAGGGTTAGCGAGCTCAAGGCTCACACTCCCGATTCTGTGTGGCCTTGAGTTTGCATCTTCTGGATTTGAAAGGATGTCCATGAAGGCTCTGCAAATTCACGTGATAACTCTTTAACTGCTGCAGCGCTGATGAGGTTTTGAGAGTGGAGATCCTTAAAGCCTAAGATGAGCCTGCTGGATCAGGCCAATAGCCCATCTAACCCAGCATCCCCTTCCCACAGTTGCCCGTGCGAAACCAGCAAGCCAGATTCAAGTACATGAACGCTCTCCCCTCCTGTGGCTTCACTGCCTCCAATGGTGGCTAATAGCCATCAATTGTCCTCTCCTCTATGAAAGCTGCATGGAGATTCGCAGGTTCTACAGCAGTTGAGGGGGTACCTCTGGTGGTGAGCTCCAACTCCCTATACACTTCCTATCTGATGGTTTTGGTGAGGAGGTTGTCTTAGGTTTGGGAGTCTCGGATCTGAAATGGTCCCTGAATTTAGACTTGGGCTCCATGTCATGCCAAACTGTGTTACTTCTGTAGGTGTTGCTACTGACTCAACCGACACTGCCCCGACCCCCAATCTCTTTCCATGTAACGTGGTGCAGTCCATTGCTAGCGCTCTGGGCTACGATGGCAGGGAAGGTACCAGCAACAGGGGTGGTGAGGTGCAAGATGGAACTCACAAGGGGGCACATAAAGATTTGTAGGTGTATCATTTAATGCTAACCTTCTGATCCTGGCTCTGGTGACTTCCTCCCCCCCCCCCATGTTGTTGGGCAGTAAAGGCAAGCGATGGTTAGAGTTGCGATGGAGGTAGCTTGGGGGCAGTGAAGGCAAGTGATGGTCAGAGTTGCGATGAAGGCAGCTTGGGGGCAGTGAAGGCAAGTGATGGTCAGAGTGGTGATGGAGGTAGCTTGGGGCAGTAATGGCAAGTGAAAGTCAGAGTTGCGATGGAGGTAGCTTGGGGGCAGTGAAGCCAAGTGATGGTCTCGTTCAGGCATGGGGAACCTGTGTCCATTCAAGGTGCCATCTCAAGACTGTGCCATATCAAGGGCCCTGCTTTGTCTTTTCACCTTGGTGGTCCTGAGCCTGGACTGTGGAGCAAGTAACTCTGTGCACCTCTCAGCCGTCCTTGCTCCTCCAGGAAAGAACAGAGGTTTAGGAAGGATGACGGCTGAGGGTGATGAATGGCAGCTTGCGCAGGCTGTTGCCGTTGGAGCTGAGAGGAAGCGGCGGAGAACCTTTTAACGGAGCGAAGCTGAATAATGCATGAAGTTTTGTTAATCATGTACTGATTAAAATGATGATGTGTTAATATTATCTCTGTCACCTCAGGAGAGAGGAGACAGAGTGGAGGCACCTGGGGAGGGAGAGGAAGGGAAACGGAATGGAGAGATCATTGGTCAGGGCACAGATAAAGTCTCCTGGGTCCAAGAGACTAAAACAAACAAAAGAGAACATCCTTGTTATAAGGCAGGAGACAAACTTACACATGGACTGTAGGAGACCCTGATGATCTGTGGCTGACCCTTGGCTTCATGAACTTCCTGGACCTGTGTATTTTCAGGCACTGAAAGGGAATAAGCACCAGTTGGCCGCTGTGTGAACATGATGCTAAACCTCTGCTGCACCAGAAGGGAGAACTGAAACCAATGGATTCAAACTGCAAGAAAGGACTCAGAAGGGAGTGGACTCTCCTTTGTTGGAGAATCAGTTCTCACCTGTGGTTCCTGCACTGCAGGAGGTTGGGTTAGATGATGCTTGGGGTTCCTTCTGACTCTATAGTTCTATGATTCTAGGTGGGATGGAATTAGCTGCCTGGCCCATCCTTCTCTTGAACATGAATGCATGCTGCTTCAGCTTCACAGGTCAGAAAGCGTGCTCTGCTGTTTTGGGAGGCAGAAGACCCCACTGTTAGAAGAGAAAGGGGCAAATGCAGCACCCAGGTTCATGCATACCTGCATATCCATCGCTTAACATTGTGTTGACAGTACGGATTTAGGTGGACCTGCGATGATAGAAAGCACCTTCAGATGTTCATTGGAAGCACCCATGGCTCAATGCATAGAGGACCTAGGTTCAATTTGTGGCAGCATCTCCGGGTAGGGCTGAGAGAGACTCCCCTGTCTTGAACCCTGGAAAGTCCCTGCCAGTCAATGTAGGCAACCCAGAGCTAGGTGGGCCCATTGTTGTGCTTGGCGCAAGGCAACATCTGTTCCTAGAAGCCTGTGTTTCCATGGAGGAAGAGCCATAGCTCTGTGGTAGAACATCTCCTTGCATGCAGAAGGTCCCAGGTTCAACACAAATGGCACTTCCAGGTAGCGGGGGGAGATACCTCTGTCTGAAATACACTGTCAAGTCAGTGTAAACAATACAGTGGTACCTCTACTTACGGATGCGATCCATTCTGGGGTGCCGTTCACACCCTGAAAAGTCTGTAAGTAGAGTGCCGCTTCTGTGCATGACGCAATAGAGCGCTCCTGTGCATGCACGAAGCGCACAGAATGCTCCTGCACATGCGCACGCAGTGAAACCCAGAAGTATACATTTCTGGGTTTGCCATGTTCGCAACCCGAAAATCCACAACACGAACCTAACACAACTAGATGTATGACTAGGTAAACTCAATAGTCTGGCTCTGTCTAAGGCAGTGCTCCTGGATAGCTCAGTCAATAGAGCATGGGACTCCTAATCTCAGGGTTAGGGGTTCAAGCCCCACGTTGGACTAAAGATTCCTGCATTGAAGGAAGCTGGACTAGATGACTCTTGTGGTCCCTTCCAACTCTACAATTCTATTACTTCCTGTGGTTTTTATTTCAATCGACCCTTTATTCAAAACCACGAGGGCTAGGATCTTACTGTATCCTTAGGAAACACCTGTAGCTTAGTGATAGGACATCGGCTTTGCATGCAGAAGGCCTCAGGATCTGAACTTGGTGTCTCCAGGTAGGGCCAGAGATATCCCCTGAATCTTACCCTGGTGAGCTTCTGCCGGTCAGTGTAGACAATACAGAACTAGATAGACCTAATGCTCTGACTTGGCTTTCTCCTGAATTTTCATTGGAGGAAACCAACCCTCAATGTTATGTATGGGACAAAACCACTTTCTGTTTGCTGTATGCCATCTTCCAAACCTCCACCGGTGGTTTCTACCAGGCCCCGAGTGTGGAAGCTGACAGATTTGAGGGCAGACGTTAACTAGCCCAGTCACCTGTTGGCAATTAGCTCTCCAAGGACCCCCCTCCTCACTCCAACAGCTGAGGAAGTCAGTAAATGAGTCAGGGGATAAAATACTAATATTAGATTAACACGTCCCTTCAGCCACAGACAGAGAGCCACTCACGAACTCAGGCCGCAAACGCTTCAGGGGTATTGTTTATGCTGCGTGAAATGGGGCTTTGGGGAGCATCGTCTGTCAGCTCATCTGTCAACTGTCGCAGCAGACTCGACTCTGGCTGGCACCCTCCTTTTTCACGCTGTCAATCAAAGTCTGTAAGAATTGGAAGAAGGGGGAGGAGAAGAAAGAGACCCTCTTTCCAGGAGAAGATGCACTCGACACTGATGGTTTAAAAATCCCGGAAGTTTCTTTCTCTCTCTCTCTCTCTCTTTTAAAGAAAAGGATATGTCCATGTGGTTTTCCTCCCTTCTTGATCTGATGAAAGGACTCAAGCGAAGCTTCTGTGCGAGAGGGGAAAATGGAAGAATAGAAACCCAGCAGTGATAAAGGCTTGTCTCTGAACACCCTTTGTGCCTTCATGTTTCATACAAGACCAAACATGATCTGAGAACGTTTCTATTTATTTTCATAGAATCATAGAATTGTAGAGTTGGAATGGAACCTGAGGATCATCTACTGTAGTCCAATTCCATTCAATGCAGGAATTTCAACTGAAGTATCCCTGACATGTTGTTGTTGTTTAGTCGTTTAGTCGTGTCCAACTCTTCATGACCCCATGGACCAGAGCACGCCAGGCACTCCTGTCTTCCACTGCCTTCCATAGTTTGGTCAAACTCATTCTAGTAGCTTCGAGAACACTGTCCAACCATCTCGTCCTCTGTTGTCCCCTTCTCCTTGTGCCCTCCATCTTTCCCAACATCAGGGTCAGTTCAAGTGAGCTTCCTGACCAAGTGGGGGATTTAAATCCTGGTGTCTTCCAGGACCTAGTAGTCTGACAATCTAACCACTACACCACACTGTCTTTTCAGACTCGGGAGCTGCCTCCAGGATTTAAATAATCCATATGTTTTAATGCCTAAACAAAGACTGGAATGAATCCAACAGACGTTTTATATGGCTGATCTTCAAGTGAAAGAACAGAGCATGCTGTAAACATCTTTTTTTTAAAGGGGGGGAAAAACCGAAAAGGTGTCCCTCCTGATTTAAAAGGACAAATATATTTATCTCTGTGTGTGCCTTGTGTTATAGAACGGGTCTTGCCAAAATTACCTCTCCTCTCTGCTATCAGGAAGAGATTCGTATTCTGCCGGGGCTGCCATCTAATCAGAGAAGTTGTAATTCCCGGTCGGTAATCTAATCAGAAGGTTGCATTTCAGATACGACATTGCGGAGGAGAAATACAGTTCTTTATTTAGAAAGTGGCATGTGTTGAGCGGGGCGGGTGGAATTTAACTCCAACAGCGACCAGGCTGTGATGTCCACCACTGTAGTAATTCTGAGACTGGGGCCTGAGAGTTGCAATGAGATGTTTCTTAACGATGGAGGTAGACCATATCTCTACCCAGTAACCTCAACCTCCCTACCCCTTAGAGCCATGGGACTTGGAGGAAGTTGGCATAGATGTCCCCCTGGGGTCCCTTCCAATTCCACTGGTGTGGTCCCATGGAGGAACAGCTGTAGTCCAGTGGTAGAGCATCAGCTTTGGATGTAGAAGATTCCATCCCCAATGGTGTCTTCAGCTAGGGATGGGAGAGACCTGTGCTTGAGACCCTGGAGTGCCAGTGTGGTGTAGTGGTTAAGAGCGGTAGTCTCGTATTCTGGGGAACTGGGTTTGCATCTCCGCTCCTCCACATGCAGCTGCTGGGTGGCCTTGGGCTAGTCACACTTCTCTGAAGTCTCTCAGCCCCACTCACCTCACAGAGTGTTTGTTGTGGGGGAGGAAGGGAAAGGAGAATGGTAGCCGCATTGAGACTCCTTCGGGTAGTGATAAAGCGGGATATCAAATCCAAACTCCTCCTCTTCTTCTGGAGAACTGCTGCAAGTCAACGTAGACATTGTTGGGCTCTTCTTACCCTACACGAGCCTCAATGACAATACCCTCCCTCCACAGTTGCAGGAAGCGATGCTTCTTAAGACCATTTGCTGGAAGCCACAGTGGTGGAATGAAGGGCTCTGATGCTGCTGTCTTGTTCAAAGGTTCCCCATTGGGACATCTGGTTGGCCACACTGAGAACAGGATGCTAGATTCGATGGGGCAACTGGCCTGATCCAGCAGGACTCTTCTGACATTCTCAAATTATTCTGGTTTCTTCTCATTTTAAAATCTGAGGAGGTATCTGTCATTGGAAGCTGTGAGAAATGTGTGAAGACATTCCCATTCCCCTGGAAATGGTGAAGGGGGCTTTGGAGTCATGCCACCAGAAAGTCCGCTCATCCTATCAGGAGATCACTGTTGCGGACTAGTGCTCCTTCTGCCCTCTGTGACCTGCCAGCAGAGGCCCCAACCTTTAGGCCACTTCCCGGGAGGCAAAGGATGCCCCTGGACTGAGCTTGCTGCCCAGGAAATGTATTCTGCCCGATTGCACAATTGGCCACTTGAGAGCAGTTTGGGGGGCAGGCTACTTGTAGGGGGTGGACCTGGCTGGGCCTGGTGGCTTTGCTCAGGTCCGTGCCCTGGAGGTTTAAAGAGGACCTGTGGCTGAAGCTGAGAGCCACTCTATCACTGGATCATCCTCCTTCCCTCCTTCCCTATTGGTCTGGTGTGTGCTGCTTGAGAAAACTAGCTATGGACACCGTTGGTCGCCGTATTCGGGACCAGGTTAGAATTTTTCCCATCTGGCAAATTGGCTCCAGCCATCTGGTTTTCACCATTCTCATAGCAATCATCACAACTTTGGTGGTTTCGGCATTGAGTGGGCGTAGTCTTGGACAGAGGAGAGGTTGTAGCCTCTGCATTCCCTTCCTGAAAATGTGGCGTCCCATTAAAGGGATCTGGGGAGATGTCAGATGCCTGGGCAGGGGCTAGGGCCACAATACTCCCAAGCTGCAACCCAGAAAAGGAGCTACTCTTTGATGTAGGTCAATAACTCCCTCTCTTCTGGTTGACCCCAAAATTAAGTACTTCTGGCAGGAGTGCCAGCAGGGGTGTGCTCTATGTATGCCAAACCTCTTCAAAGAAAGTTGTGGCCTGATTGACCCCAAATACAACTTGTCATGTCTCATTATTTACGGTTATGATGGTCAATCAGGTGGGGACATGTCTGGGCATTCACAGAGGCATAGCATGGTCAAGGGGTGCCAGCTGCAGGGGGCGGATTTTCACCAACCCACATTGCAATTTTTGGGAACATTGCCCAGAGTTGTTGAGCTTTTTTTAGGGAGGGTACCGCAAAGTTGTTGAGAGATCAGCCTGGCACCCCTCGGCAGCTGACTCTCACATCCCCGGCGGGTGGGTTTTCGCAATCATCATTGTGAAAATATGCCCGCCGATCGCACAAATATGCCCGACCACCAGGCATATTTGCTCAATCGGCAGTCAGATTTTCGCAGTCGGAGGGTGGCGCTGGCACCCCCAGCAGGCCAACACTACCTGGCAATCAGGAAAATCTGACCACTAATCACATAAAACTGCCCACCAGGGATGTGAGTGCCGCTCACTGGGGGGTTTGAATACTGCCCACCGGGGGGTGCCAGGCTAATCACTGGGCATATTTGTGCGATCCGCGGGTAGATTTTCTCAACAATTGCGCCAATTGCGAAAATTCACCCTCCGAGGGTGCGAGGACCGCCATGCTGATCTGCCTGGGGGGATCTTGTCACACACACCCCTAGGCATGACACCCGCAGTGGACTGCACCCCCCACAACACCCCTGGGCACACAAGCCCCTCCTGCCCCATGTAAGGGAATTCCACCTGCCTCTTTCTTGATGTGGCAACCTCCGTGTTTTGCAGCCCACCAAAGCAAGTGTTTTGCTGAGCCCCCATTGGGCTGCCGGCCCGCATCCAGCTTCCCACAGCCCTGAACCAGAACTGCAGCTCGGAGTCTTTGTTAACTTTTGTAGCCACCCACCTCCAGCCGCAACAGATGTGGCTCTGATCTCGTCGCAGCAGAAGACGATGGGGGCCCTGAGGCCTTTGCTGTAGGTCTGCCTACACTCTCCCTCCATCTCCCTCCCTCCCTCTCTCCCTCTCTCTGCAGTGGCATCGATAAAATTGAATTGTTGTATTGGAGTGTAAACATCTCTGCTTCTCTGTGTGTGTGTCTAAATGAAGGCCAGAGGTGCAAAGTCTTTTGTGTGTGTTTGCATAGCTTTCTGGACTTATCGACAAGACAAGACGGAAAAAAGGGGACCCTGCTGGGAGATGGTGGATTTGAGTATTTAAATAAGGCACTGGGGCTGCTGGGGTGGGCCGGAGGAGAAGCCCAAATGTCAACATCATTAGGCACTCTGACAAAGAGAGAGAGGGGGAGTTTGTCTATCTTTGCTTCCCCGTTCCATTGCTGGAGCAACACCCATAAGTTTGCATTGAGCATGTGGCAATGTGCTG